AAAGATTTTGATGTTTCGTTTTAGATTTCACTGGACTACTACAGGAAAATCTCCTCTGTACCCTGAAATGGAGTTAAATCACATTTTGCCTAGCAATGGCTGCTTACAAATGTCAAGGCAGAAAGCAGACCACTTTTCAGTAAAAACTGAGGAAAAAGAGGGAATAAAAGGAAATATGAGGGTTTCGAATGACTTACTATATTCATAGAGAAAACAGTAGAAAGAACAAAAACCTTGCCTATATAACGTCATAGGGTAGTCAGGAAATCATTGACATCTGTAAAAAGGAAGGCCAAAACTTTATGTATATTTTATACATGCTGTAAAGCTTCTTGAGCTGTGAACTTGGTAGCTTTAAGTAACTGTTAAGATTATAGGTGTTCTTTTTTTCTTTTCCTGTTGACTTTTAAGAGTGGAACAGTCTTTCTCTGCTTTTTTTGTCCGTATTCGTCATTCCCTCTGTTGCTAAATATTGCCTTGGTCTCTTAGATCAGGAGAGAGATGTCAAGTTATTATGATAGCCAATCTGATGTACATACATACTCTGGGAGAACAAATAGCCTGTTTATAAAATAAAGTACCCTTCAGTCTAAAGTATCCTACTGGGCAAATTTTGCCTTTTATGTAAAGGCAGACATGAAGAGGAAGACTTCCACGCCTAAATTTTCGAAGATATTATCTAAATGCTCATTAGGTATGAAAAACAGAGGTGATCTGTCAGGCCTAGTACAGTCTGAGGAAAACTTGCCTCTAATTGTAATGGTCCAATGTCCTTATGCTAGGTCTTACTAGCTCCTTACTGCTAAATCTTTACTTTCTCTTTTTTCATACATAGCAAAATTATATTGTTAGCCTCTAACTGCTATAAGCAATTTTTAATACTTAATTCAGTGTTCCAGTAAAAACCAGAACTTTTATTAAATCTTTTATTCTATATAAACGTCAAGTGGTTTCTCTACCAATTTTTCCTTTTTACATATTATATCTAATACCTTTTAAGTTTTTCTGTCTGTTTTGTTTGAGGATATATGATGCTTATACTCATGTCTCTTCTAGCTTAGGCAGAGTTGGCCTTTTTGAAGCTTAGTCTTACAGTTTATATTGACTTCACCATTTTGTCATGTTAAATTCAATTAATTGAGCAATTATGATCCAGGTGGCATTTTCTAACAACATTTACTTTTTCTTTTTTGAGTCAAAACAGGCATGAATAAAAGGTTCTCAGTTGTGTCTGTTTTTCTTTAGGTGACAGAAATATCTTCCTCCGTCTTTTTTTTTTTTTTTTCTTCTTCTGAGAAGTGGTCATAAATAACTTCAGTTTCACTAAAACTCTCCCAACAGGGCTATTTCAAGGCTTCCCAGCAGCACACACAGAATTAGATTTTCATGTCCAAAGGATCTCTAAGGAGGCAAAATTAAATTACATAACAGAAAAGAAAAATGAGGGAGTTCTGGGAAAGGGATGAAGGCTGGGAGAGAATAGCAGGAAACCGGGTGGTGTGTGTTGGGAGTTTTATGGGCTTGTGTGACAGCCTGAAGTCCGTGGATTGATTGTAGATCTTCCTGTATGTCACCTGTCTCCTCCAGGTGCATCCCTCTCCCCAGGGTATGCAAACCCAGTCTACCCCATTTGTGGGACTTCTGGCTCCCCTTTCTCTCATGCAGCTATTAATTCCTTCCCTCCTCTTTGGAAATGCAGCTCTCTTAACATTTACTTTTTCTTTTTTGAGTCAAAACAGGCATGAATAAAAGGTTCTCAGTTGTGTCTGTTTTTCTTTAGGTGGCATAAATATCTTCCCCCGTCTTTTTTTTTTTTTTTTCTTCTTCTGAGAAGTGGTCATAAATAACTTCAGTTTCACTAAAACTCTCCCAACAGGGCTATTTCAAGGCTTCCCAGCAGCACACACAGAATTAGATTTTCATGTCCAAAGGATCTCTAAGGAGGCAAAATTAAATTACATAACAGAAAAGAAAAATGAGGGAGTTCTGGGAAAGGGATGAAGGCTGGGAGAGAATAGCAGGAAACCGGGTGGTGTGTGTTGGGAGTTTTATGGGCTTGTGTGACAGCCTGAAGTCCGTGGATTGATTGTAGATCTTCCTGTATGTCACCTGTCTCCTCCAGGTGCATCCCTCTCCCCAGGGTATGCAAACCCAGTCTACCCCATTTGTGGGACTTCTGGCTCCCCTTTCTCTCATGCAGCTATTAATTCCTTCCCTCCTCTTTGGAAATGCAGCTCTCTTTACCTGCAGCAACTCCCACTTATCCCTCTGCACCTGTTTTCTGGGAAGAACAGGGCTTCTGGCAGCGGGGCTGGGTGAGAAAGGTGATAGCAATAACTGTTTCTTGACCGTTCACATACATTTCTCCTAATGCCTCCTTTTTAGTGTTTGATCAGTGGCAGAAATCTGTGCAAGAAGACAGAAATCAGTCATTCAGTATAAAAAGAGCTAACCCTACTCTGCAGTAATCTGTAAATTAGCCTGTTTCGTGCTATTCATACCTGGATTGTCTAGTTGCATATGAGTCGTAGTCAATTTATTCCAATAGGGTGTCTAATGAACTCTGACATTGGTCCTTTCTCAAATGATCAGGAGATCTGACTATATAATATTTCCCATTTCTTGTCATTTGTATTGACATTAATTTAAATTCCTGTGATCCCCACCCTATTGTAGGCTTTTTATATAAAATACATCTCATGGAAATAATACAACTCTCTTTCATAACGCTTGTGTATTTTTCTATTTTTCAGTAATATTTTGGTATGATTTTTTTCTACTCTGTTCCTGTAATGGCTAAATACTCATATGTTCTCCCTTGACTGATTCAAATGTATTGATTTCATTATTCATCTTCCTTTAGTTGCATTTAAAAATCCTCTTTGATATTATGTGTGTGTATTTTTTACCTTTACAAGATGCATTGACATTGTTCTGTGACTCTTGTCTTAATTCACTTACATTGGCTTGTAAGGTCACAGCCTCCCTGTGTTGCCTGCTTTCCTGTACCAAGCACTGCTGCAGTTCTTTGCTTTTTGCTCCAGGGGGCAAGAAGCACTTTATTCTCTGGTACAACAATTCTGAGATTTAAAATATAAACGTAGGGCAACCACCATGGAAGATGGCATCATAAATAGAAGGGAAAGACCTGTAGTCTGCTTCCTTTGTCTATGCAAATGCATAGCAATAATAGTCTTTCACGACCCACACTCTGCAGAGTTAACCCAATCCTTTTAATAATCTGTGGAAGAATATTGGTTGCTATGGCAACATGTTCTGTGGTACCACTTGACTGTCAAAATAACCTCATGAAATACCATGCTAAGAATGTTTTAGAAACTGACTTCTAAAATAAAAAGTAAATAAATCCACCTAACTTTAGAAGATACAGCGAGATTAATGAAGTCTGCCACAAGGGAACAACCATTTTCCAACCGAGGGGAATCAGACTAGTGCAGATGGATATATTGTGTTTCTCATCTTTGGTGAGTGAGCTGAAATGGAATTTAGAAATATTATTTTCTGCTTAAATTAATGGTTTACCAACCACATCTGTGTATAAGAAGTTAGCACAAGAATCAAAGGTTAAATGATCCTCAGATGTTATACAATCTGAGTTGATGCCTGTCTGTTTGGTGCCTTTGCTTACAGTTTCCATCAGCTTGTGTTCATCTTCAGACCTGCTGCTGCTTCTCCACTTCTTTTCCCCCTTACTTTTCCTTCACCTCTGCATTCCCCTTCTTGCAGCAGACTCCATGCGTTTCTTTATTCTATTGGCTAAAATAAACTGCAGTTAAGTGTTTTGTGGTTTTTTTTTTTTTCAATTTTATATGAGCCTTATAGCAGTGCTTTAGAGCTAATGTTACCACCAGATTAATAGATGGGGTCAGCCATTTGTCTCCAGCAGCATTATGCTGGTCAAGCAAAAATTCAGACACTTCTGACAGATTGTTTAGACAAACAAGTGTTCCTAAAGACAGCATTTAGCATCTGGATATCAGGTAGGGTGCACAAACAATCGTCAAGCAGACTAGAACAGCTACTGCATATTCCAATTTAAATATGGACAAAAAATTAAGATGTGAGTAAAATTTACACTTTTTTTTGTTGTCCTTTTTTTTTTTTAACATGAGATCTTAAAAACAATTCGCTACTGACTTAACTTTCCTCCTCCTCCTCCTGAAACCAATAAAAGTTGCCATTGCAATTCAATCCATTGGGGTGGACTACCCTGCATAGCAAAATAACATACAAAAATAGGAACTCTCCACTCTTCCTGTTTCTGGCTGTCATAGAAGATTAGGATACTGGTTTAAGCAAAAATCAGCATTATTCCCTTATGACTGAGACCAATATGGAAGCCTTCTAGCTGATGAAACAAAATAAGACAGGTCATTTTAAAATAAAATTTTTACCTACAAAATAAGCTAGCACATTTATTATTGGTAAATATAAAATAAAAATTGAAACCTCTTATTTGTATTGAACTGATCTATTTTTTTGCAAAACCTTTGGACTGATCCAGGCAAACGTAATACAGTTGTATTTTTCTTTTCTGAATTCCACAGATGACTGTTGAAGCAAGATCCCCTTAGCTTATATTATTTCCTTCTTGGAGATAGTGTTGTTATTTTTTTCAATTATAGTTTTTATTCTCTGTAGAATATCCTAAACTTAATGATGTTAAAGCAAATTTTAAAGTAAAATAATTAGAATTTGCCAATTAATTGATAATAAAGAAAATAAATACATATTTTAATGTATAGTATTATGCTCACTCATATTTGCAAGTATAATTGCAGCTAGATCAATATGCGCCTTCCTTAGAGTGTGATTTTCACACACCAGATTAACAGTTGAGTAGTTACATTGTATTAAAATAGCAGTTTATCTTTTGGAATTTATCAATGGGAATCTTTTAAGTTCTTTTCATTGAGTAAAATGGTTCTTTACAATATATCACTGTGTTTAATTTGAAAGCACTGTTTCTTTATGCACAGAGGCCTTCTTCAACATGTTTATCACCAAGAGAGGAAGATGATGATGATGCAGGTGAAAATACTTGTGGTCCTTCAGGTTTATGGGAGGCATTGACACCTTGCAATGGATGCAGGAACCTCGGTTTTCCCATGCTTGCACAGGTATATCTTTACCTTTTCATCATAAAACTTATTAACTATAGAAGAGCTGCTTAATCTCTTTTCTGCCTTACCTCTTACAGTCATTTCTAGTCTTGCCTGATTTCCTTCAAAATTGTTAGCACCAGTCTTCATTTTAACACCAAAATCTGGTTTTAAAGTTAAATGTTGAGGTTCGGTCATCCTGCTGTAATACTCATCCAGATGAGTTTAATATTGCGACTGTTTGATGTTTATTACCCCTATTTTAGACAGATAGTTTTTGTGTTGCATAGCTTTCTCTTCTGATTCCATCTGGAAGAAATTTTGAAGTCACGTATTTTCCTTTGGGATAAGTACTCCATTTTGGACCAGCTTCTAATTAATATAATGACATCTCAGCTACTTTCTTTATAGAATTAATAGAGGACATCATGCATAAGTCAACTGGTGTAAGACTATAGCCTAAGACTTCCCTTTGAAGATTATGTAACTTAAAAAAAAGTCCCCAAACATTTTCAAAAGCTCATGATAATACAGAGGAGAATAAATAAAAAAGGGTAATATACTTGGGTCTAAGTCCCAACAATTCTCAGAGCAGACAAGTCTGCAGTATCCACCAAGGCATGCCAACAGCTGTGTCCTGAACAAGTGATATTGTATTGCTACAGAACAGGATGATGCTTATTGCTGCTTCTGGGTCTCCCTTGTTCTCTCCCCCCACTATAGTTTAGTACTCTCATTTCTGTAACATTTTTCCTGCACTCTTCTTCTAGCATTGAATGGAGGCCTGCCAAATTTCTGTTTAGAAATGTCTGCTTTTCCAGTTGCATCCTTACTTGGCACTGCATTTAAATAGCTTTGTCAGATTCTCGTGTACCAGATTGGAATTACATATCCTGTCTCATCACACTTTATACACTGTTGCTTTCATACCGTGACTGTACGTTTTATTCCCTTTAGTCTCATGGGACTTGCACCTGTTTGAAGTCAATGCTAAAGCTTCCACCGCAGTCAATGGAAACAGGATATGGCAACTAATGTGCCTGAATAACAATGAGCACTGCCCTATCTTTTTATAAGGAGCTTTTATATTCGTTTCTCCTTTCAGTAGCTGTTTTCTACCTCATACTATCTATCATTTTAGACATTTGGTAAGGTGCAGAGCTGCTGGAATTATCCTGATTTACAACAGGAGTGCCGTAGTTACTAATTCCTCATTTTTTAAAAACTTGTTTCAAAAAATATTTCTTAAGTGGAACATTTCTTATTTAAATATGTATCACCTATGGTTTAGTTATTGTTAAACTTTCCCATGATGAACATATATGCCATTTTGGAGTGATTTTCTAATTTAAAAAAGTTGTTGTTTTCCTTGTTTCTTTTTAATGTAAGGTATTTGTAAAGTGTGTTATAAAATTGAGGAATGCATTTGAAAAATAGAATAAAGTTAGCTTGGTTGGTTGGTATAACTTTCTTTTTTATAAAGAAAGATTCATGTCAAGAACAATGTAAATTTTAAGATAGTGACTCCTGAATTAGTTTTATTCATTGTACTTAAATTTTAAACTCAACCTTACAATATGTCATCTTTATTGCTCTGAGAACTAATAAGATTTTTAATTATGGGTACAAAAGAATATATTTATTCTATGTTCATTCATGAAATGACAGATTGTCTTTCTAGGTTGTTTCTCTCCATAAAAATTGAAGGCAGAGATAGTTTTGGTTTTCTATTGTTTTTCTTTTTATGGAAGAAAGAAAAGAAATTAAATAGTGAAAAATCTCCAAATTACAAACCAGTGAATTCAGTTTATAAAGTGTTGCCATCACTGTATGCAATCTTTCAAGTTGTTGGCTAATCTGTTGAATTTTTCACATTTACTGCAGGATGCAGCAAAGGACATCTTGTTCTAAGGGATCGCGAACACAAATTATTTATTTCTAGATTAAGATCAATAACTTGAATTGGTCTAACAAATTATTATATAATCTGCAACAGCATGTTTTAGGTAAAAGTACAAAAATGTGTTTCTGATATTCATGTCAGTCCACTAACATATCAGAAAACGCAGACTTCATCACAAAGAAACAATGAGATAAGGGTGTTTGACATCATGTCTTAAAATCCATACTCTACTAAAGATCCCAAAATAGGGAGAAGGGTCTATCAATTACTATTGAACACAAATGACAAGTTCATTTCTCCAGTTGTCTTGTAGCTAAAAATAGATTTTACAGTTATATAAATACACTGTGTTTACACATCAAAGGAGAACAACCATAAAGATTGATTCTCTGTTTATGTCCTGGGTTTATGTATTGGGATTGATTCTGGGTTATATAAACTATATACAGTTTATATACACAGTCAGAGGTACAATGGTAAAATGAAAGTGAATTTTAGGTGTGATTATGACAGTGTCCGTCTGTAACCTAATGATCTAACAGTTTTAAATATGCCAAAGAAAAGGGCAGTTATCTCCTTGACGAAGTTGATTTCTTTATTGCAGTTATGGAAAAAGGCTTGGCTGGAGGTACTTCTGACACGCAGTGACATTTCCGGCTGTAATGTGCTGGGAAGTCATTTTAGAAAGGGCTGTTACAGAAAGTTCTGTGTAAATTGTTCTGCAGATACCATTTAAATCCTAACATAGCAGTAATACAGGTGTTCTCAGAATAAGCAGCTCCCTGTTAGAGTCTCACAATTGGTGAAGTCCTGGAAGAGCTTGATGGAAAATCTTCGTGTCTTGTAAAAATTTCAGGGTTTTTAGAAAATGCCCAATTCTACATCAGAATGGAGCTAACAAACAACCAGCTTCATCCACCTGCAAAATACAAAAAAGCCAGAGAGCAAGGATACCCAGCTGGATTTTGGGAGATCAAAATTTAAATGCCTCTTCTTATTTTAGCAGAGAATGAAATCTATTTGTAGGTTATGATTTATGGTTAATGTGAGGCTATTGCTTTTTTCTGGAGTTAATCTTTCTTTTGGGGCAGAAATTCCATCCTTGGTAAAATTGATGCACATTTTTGTGAAAAATGTTGACTTCCACAAATGTGTATTTAATATCTGAAGAAACATTTCTTAGGGAATTCCAGATTCTGTATTTTCTGGCTGTCAGTCAGTACAAAAAAAACCCATTTTTTTTTCCACCTGTATAACTGAATAACAGTTCTACAGATTCCAGAATTTCTAATAATCTTAAATATCAGCGCAGTAAAAAAAGTTTTGAAAACTTTCAAAGACACAAAACCCCAAAAGTGCTTCTACAGCACTCTCAAATTCTAGCATTGCAGGCTTCATTGGAAACAGTTTACTCTGTAATGACTTGTCTGTTAAACTGAGAGAAAGCTTTTATAAATTGTATGCTAGTACTAGACTCTCTTCGACGATCTCCAGTTGTAAAATCTTCCTACAGTAACTACCAAGATTTTTAATGCTTTAATGGTTGCAGAAAAATACGTTACTAATGAATATTCTTCCTGTCCAAGAGCTAGAATAAAAGAATATGGTATTTCATATATAGTTTTCTCTCAGGGTAGCCACAAAAATAGAAGTTATGTGACAAAGTATAACATTTAGCTGGAGAGACCTCACCATGCTGTAGGTCAGTACTGGAAAGAAAACTGAGATATGATCCTTAAAAAATATTTTTGAGCAATGCCTGGTAACGGTAAAAAAAGCTGGAAGCATTGTAGTGTCATTATTACTGACCATCTTAAATGAAGAAGCTTTAGTCAAGAGACTTGTAATTCAGCTTAATATAGAATAGGAAAGTTTAGAGGTAGAAATAGCATAATCAGCTTAATATGCACATGGGTAGTTACAGTTATTAGGATGCCCAAAGAAACACAAGCTGTCAGGACAAAGTTCTGCAGATAATTGGCTTGACACTACAGCTTTGTTTTTGACTACAGAGTTATGGTCATCTTTGGGTGCTGCTTTTTCATTTGGTCAAATTTTAACTTTTTTCAGCATAGTAAAAAGTTTGAAAATAACCCCATCAGAAAAGCCTATAATCTAGTAGTAGATAAGGTCTGTGGATGTGGATCTCTCAAACAGAAAAAAACCTGAAACTTGTCGTATCTCCTGTGAGTACTCCAATTTCTGTATTATTTTGTGCAAGACAGGCACTTCTACTAGCCTAGATTAAAAATAAAAATAAAACAACCACCCAAAACATAGCTAGCTCTTCCCATTGTATTCTGGAAGAAGCCCCATCTAGTAGGGGTGTGATGCATTTTCTACGGACAGGAAGATCACGAATTCCCAGGGAAGGCAGCATGGTTCTACCTACATAGTGTATTTCTATCTAGATAGTTCACAAAGGTTCAAGAGCGTTTTGGTCTACCTTGTTTTAATGCAAACTAACATTGAGACAAAGTCATTAAGAGAACTTTGAGACATACTGAGATAAAAAAGCTGTTCCCAAACTGCCCTAGCACAAGCAAAGCCTGTGTTTTCTTGTATGTGTTTAGATAAGCCACACCAAGTTCTGCCCCTTGATAGAGTAACATTCAGTGCATACTGGTCAAAAGACAAGCTGGAATGAAAACTACAGAGTTTCACGTTTGCTGCTTTATTCAAGGCAAAAAATTTTAATATGTGGATATTGTCAGGGTGCCCTGAGGGCTGACGACTCCCTGGGGGCGAGGGCATTAGGAGCCACAGGAGCTGCCTGGCGTGGCAGGGCAGGTCCTCACCAGCTAGGGCTTGTCCCAGTGCCCCGTGAGGGAGCAGGGCAGGCTGGGGACAGGCAGCTGGGGGCAGTCGGGGGCAGCCCTGAGCACAGCACAACAGGGAAGTTCATGATGCTGAGGCAGGTCCAATGTCAAGCCAGAAAGTCAGTCCATGTGTTGGGGCTGGGATCAGGCCCGGTGAGGCTAATCAGGAACCAAGAGCAGATCACCAGGATGTCCATGGTGAGGCAGGTCTGCGGTGAAGCTGGGAAGCTGGTCTGCAAGTCAGGGTCCAGAACATTGGGGTCCTCGGGCAGGCATGGGCACAGATGTGGCAGTTA